GGGCGTGCACATTTTTCCGTCAAGCCGGTTCAATTTTGTTCCATCAAATTGCGCCAGTCTGCTCCGCGACGCGCTTGTAATGTGCACGTGTCACGCGCGTAATGGCTTTCGCACTCGGGTGCCTCTGGCACCGGAGAGGTGGGCGGCGTTTATAAATATGGGGGGAGGGGGGTGAAAACAATGCACGGGGGGTTCAGTGCGGTCGGCCCAAGAGCCCCCCACCGGTGGGATCGTGGCGAGGTGCGTGCGGTGCGGTGCGGTTGGTGAGTGAATCACACCCTCCTCCCCCCCCACTCACTCCCCGGGGAAACAAGCCGCTGTCCTGCCGGCTTCTTTTAAGCCGCGCCAAAGAACTTGCAACGCTCATTTTAAGAAGTCGGGCAGTGCTCAAAATGGAACCGCGCAACACGCAGCAGTCCTCAACGTCCGCTCGACGTTATGTTCTCCGGTACAAAGACAACGAATCTTGACATCCGATTCTTTGAAATCCTGCACGCGGGCGCGCTCCTAATTACCACTCCGATTTCATCTCGCGCGGGATGAGGTGGGGGGGCCCTCATAAATAATGCCGTCTCTTCTCTCAACGTTCATTCATCAATGCTCACACAATCGATGCCCTTTATAAACGCTCAAGCAATAATCGTACACATACAATAGTGCTATGGCAATCAATGCTTGTGCAATGGATGGACACTTCGCCTCTGCTGTGGACATGGTCAGACATTTCACTCCCCTGTATTTCTGACCGTCTCGCATCTGTTAAAATCGACTTCTCCAGCAACGTTGCAAATGATTCCGTTGATAAATGAAAGTCGTCGAGATACTCATCCCTGATTGGTGGCCCTGAGTCATTGGTGAATAATCCACATTCCATTGGGCCACTAGGATGGCCACTGTATACTGCATGCAAGGTTGCAGCACTCTTCTCCACATACTGGGGGCTTCTTCAGATTTCGGTATCCTGCAGAAGCTCCCAGCACGTGGAGTGAAACGTCGGACGTCGCGCCGAGAGCAACAGGCGGCACAACCCTGAAACTATAATCGAAGAGCCGTACAGCAACAGCCACGAGAGCCTCGTGCCGTAGTGGTTTAGTATTCGCGACACTCTTAAGCCTTTCCCGTCCCGAACGCGCAGGGCGGGTTTGCGTTAATTTTACCTAGAGAGGAGTAGCCCCGTTGTTTTGAAAGCCACTGCAGTCACTGCAGAGAACCGTAGCGACACGACCGCACTCTATGATAGCTGACGCCAGACTGTGCCATACGCCATCCAGCATGGCCTTGTGAGAGCCTCGGTACCGATGAAGCTATTTTATTTTAGTTTTTCATACACGTACGTCATCGGAATGGGAAAGGGTTCATGTAAAGTCAATGTTCTTAACCAGTGCCACTCAGCCAAATCTCTGAATGGCCACATTGATACATTTCAACACGTAACAGAAGTCCAGCTGAACCCACACAGGAAGTGCGACTCTTTGACGTCCTGTGGTTCAGTTTTGCACGTTTTATTTCTGCTATGTTGACGCATTCATTTTTATTACCTTTTTAGAAGGGTTTTGCTTGCTATCCAATATCTACTAGCAGGAAACTGTTTTATACACCAGCTGACTCTATATAAAAGCCATTCCCAGGCAATACTATATAACATTCTTTATCCAACAAGAAGTTAGAATGATACTTGCCACCTCCAACTGCTCTGCATATGGCTCATTTACCTGTTATGCACCAGATGGAAACCTGCTCCCGTGCGTTAATGAAGTATAATAAAAGGGAAATTTGTGAATATACACTTCCCAACATGCAACAAACTTGCAATTTGGCATGTGGATAGCTTCCAGACAGTACACAATGCAGAAAGTATAAAAAATAACTTATGTATTTTGGGGGGTGGGCACAATAATGGATATATTTTGCACGGCAAGTGAGCGGTGACGTCACTTCTGTGATGTCACCCGCATGCGGAAGCGTTATGCAGTGTGCCTGCTGACGTCACGCATCCCCCCCCCCACCCTCCGCATAGGCCGTGTATTAATCCAAGACAAGAATCCCAGTCTCTGGCGAAGCCGGGTAGTAAAGCTAGTAAAGTATAAAGGTGCAGCCCTGCTATTGCCTCCGTGGGAGGGGGACCCCTAGAGAGGATGTCTAGAGGGTATTTGGCCTACTCTTCTACATTGGCTAAACGTTTCGGAAGAGGTGGCAGTACCCACACTTTACCCCACCGCATTTGACCTGCCCATCGACTAACTGCGGTGTAACCCATTTATACTGCTGGATGGAGAGAAATGCAAGTAAACAAACAACAATCCTCACACCAATTCTAGATTTTAAGCTTTCGTGACTGCAAGGATTCATACTCTTTGTTTTTTTCGGTAAAGTCACGTAGGTAAAACAATAAAATAATATAAATGAAAACAACTAAATTAAATCACGACGTTTCGGGCGCAACACAAGCGTCCGTCATCAGCATGGCTTACTGCTGATGCAGACTATTTTAAAGGTTTAAAAGGTTAAAACAGTCTGCATCAGCAGTAGGCCACGCTATCCCACCTGATGACGCTTATGGCGCCCCCTCACAACCCCTAAGATTTAATATGGGACTAATGACAGTGGCAGTGAGGTGTTTATGCCTTCTGTTGCTTGTAATTTACAACTCTTTGCTGGGCTGTCTTTTAGTCTGCTAAATTTCCTCTATTATATTTGCACATTTGCAATATTGTCATCTTATTTTCTGAAAGGTATTTGTAACGATTTAAAGCCACAGTTGGTCAAACGCTGACCTTGTTTTTGGTTTCAGAAAAAGGCTATTTCAGCTGGGTAACTTTTCTTTCCACACAACTCTTATTTATGTTAAACGTTATTCAATATTTAACATGGAAACGTGTCAGGTACTGCATCGATATTATCCATGCAGGTAATTTAATTTCCCCTTGTGCGGACATCTACACTCACAAAATCGTTTAGTAAAGTTTAAACAACTCCCTCAGCGTATAATATTTAAAAATTTTAATCAAAAAAAGACACTGACCTTTTCGATAAGGATGAGTATGCTGAAATGTTAAGTGTAAATTTCCTGCTCCCACAGGAAAGTTGGCACACAAATCTCAGAAGCCACCATGTGACCAGACGAAGAAAGTTAGTTAGCGCTGTAGAAAGTTGTGAGGAAAAACTCAGCCTACCTGGCTGATGTAATTGTTTTTTTTACAAAGTTTGTCCTTGGCATTTACACAATCCTGAAATATTAACATTTGCAAAATAAGTTTTCGGGGGTAGGTTATTGATAGTGTTGTACATCAACGTCGGGTCTGGCACATTTATTTTCGCACGACAGCGGATGCTGGTATTGGACCAAATAAAATTGTGGATTTTCGGGGGTCATAATTCACAAGGACGTAATCAGCCACAGCAATGCAGATTTATCCGCGGCACTGCCTGGCACTGTTATAATAATTTCGCGGGAAAAAAAAAACCTCAAGTGTTTCAATTTCAGATCTGAATAATTTAAACGGAGTTGCCACCAGTCAAAACTTTGTCAATGTTTCACAGTGTTCATTGGGATTTCACAGTCTATGCAGTTCTCTCGGTGTTTATGAACAGGAGGTTGGTTGTTCGGGGAATTTTCGCTCCATAAAAAAAAAATCTGCCCAGGTGGTGATACGGTCAAAAAACACTTGTCTCACATTTCCGAAGGTTGAGATTACAGATATTGCTCGAAGGTCTGTCGAGCCAATCATCAATCTGGCATTAATAAATTGGCTACCAATTCCTGGTAGATAAACCGTGGCCATCTGTCAGAGAGAATGGTCCATTATGTGGGAATTGTGAATTTCCACCACTGGCTCAGGACCATCAACAGCCATCCGTGGCTCTAAGGTGCAGTGAGTCTGATGATCTCGGCTCAGCCTCCGATGAATACACAGGGTGGGCAAGAAAGTGAAGGCACCCCCCTCCTGGTTTCCCGCACCTCCGATTAGCACGGTTGGCTACGTATGGTGCGAAAGAAGTTAAAAATACATGCATAAAGGAACTCCGATGGGTCAGTAATGGTCCGTCCTGCTCACCTCATACATTCCACTTTCACTTATTCGGTGCAGCCCAGTTGTGAGAGCTGAAATGTACAAACATATCTGATGGCCAACACTTGGCGAACCGCATTTTGTAGATTGCGAAGGAGCATTGTTAACAGAGGCCCATTGAAGTCGTTCCATGACGCTAAGATGCAACTCTCCGCCGATTGAAGGGGATCCATACTTTTTGGTTGTTTTGGTAAAGTCACGTAGGTAGAAATATAAAACATGTAGGTAGAAAAATAAAACACGTAGGTAAAAAAATAAAACAAAAAATTATTCTTTTATTTTTCTACCTACGTGACTTTACCGAAAGAACCAAAGAGTATGGATTCCTGCAGTCACGAAAGCTTCAAATCAAGATTGAAGGGGATCCGCCAATGCAAACAGTTGCATTGTAAGGCAATGGCAGTGGTTACACTGTTGGGATACTGCATACCGGAGGATTGAGTAATTCCATGATGTCGGAGTTAGAAGAACAATGCAGCTGTATGAGACACAGTGACTAAATGAGCTCGGTTATGCCACGCTCTAACCTGCTTCAAAAGCACATGTGATGTTAATGTTAAATGTACCGAGTATGCCAGGTTCAGTGTTCCATGGTGTAATTCCCATTACCATGAACACAACCAAATGCATATTATTATCATTACATTTGTTTACCCAGGACACTTTCTCACAAAGGGTCCTGCCAAGTTTGCGTAGTAGTAGGGGGGCGATGTTGCTGCAACTTGTGACGCTGAGTAATTTTCAGGCAATCTTGCAACATTTTTTTTCAGCTGCGGGAGGAAACTTGGAAAAAAGTCGGGAGGAAACCCACGCAGAACAATCGGGAGAACATGCAAACTCCACACTGGAAGGCGCACCCAGCGGGGAATCGAACCCAGGGCTCTTCTTGTGGCGCCAAGGTGCATGTGTTGCCGTATTTCAAAATCTTACCTCAATGAGGAAGTCCCCGGTCTTAAGGCCGGCCTGAGCCGCCACCCCTCCATCATCCACGGCCTCCAGGTACTGCAGGGCCGGGAACGCGGGCGTGGGGGTGAACTCCTCGATGGGAACATCGGCTGTGATTGGTGATCGGGGGGGGAAGGTGTGGGGCGGGGGGAGGCATCGGGGAGGGGACGGTGGAAGGGTAATGGCAGTGGAGGGGGAGCAGAGAGGAGGAAGGCCAAGGAGCCGGCCACAGTGTCAGTCACACGTGACAGCGAGTGCACGTGTCGGAATTTTTACGCTTGTACATTTCCAAGTGCTGTACACTTTATTTAAGCCGCGTGAGTTGACATCATCTCGCTCATTTGAGGCTGCATTTAGGTTGCGCTGACAATACGATGCCACCGTTGTCATTAGCGAACGCTGTGTTGCAACAGAAGGGTAAATGATGAAGGCGATATTGCAGGCGAATGACTCTTCTTCAGAGTAAAGGTGCAACGTGACGTCATGGTTGCCAGCAGCGGATTGTGAAACATGATTCAAATCGCTTTAAACTATTGTCATTGTAGTGCGTATTTAATGTGGCGCTGCACTCTGATGTTGTAGGAGAAAACATTTATTAAAAAGTCTATTTAATTAAGTAGAACGTGTTGTCTATAGTTATTTAAAGTTGCGCATTTTGATGTGACGTCACATTTTTCAAACCCCCCCCCCCCCCCCTCGTTACACATCTATAGAGACACTGCTATAGAGACACTGCTAAAAGGGAGTTAGTAAACAGACGGTTTCATATGAACAGGCATTAGGTATATTGGCATAAATAAGAGTAAATAAAACCATAAATCTGGCTGAGTGGCACGGTTAGGACGGTGTGAATAACAACCCGAAGGTTGCGAGTTCAAATCCCAGTTGGGGATGGACTCAATCCTGTGGTTGGTGCACTGAGTAATGCATTGTGGGAAGTCAACAGTGTTTGCCCTTTGAATCGAATCTTTCTCACCACTGGATCAGGGCTGTCAACAGGAGGACGGGTGTTTTCTCACGGTCATTTAAGCGGAAAGACATTTGTTTTAATTTCAAATGCATTATGTACAGAGCTGTAGCAATCCACTGCCATATGAAGGCCTCACCACGTCTTTTCGTCGTGGGGGGGGTTGTTTGACCATACTTCACCACGCTGGTCAGTGAATATTTGTAAAGAGGGGGTCTGGTTTCGATATCGCTCGTCACTCATGTTAGCCGTGGCCAGAAAGTCAAACTCAGGGTTCATCGCGCAGTGAGTCAACTCCTGTTCCACTGCTCCACCCAAATTCATACATTGGCATACGAATGCAATCGTTATAATTTACACTTAGTTGGGTCGTTGGTAATTGTGAAATGTTGCCAATTGGGTTGTGACATCCTCAATCATCTTCGATCGTCACGCAATGGCCCTACGATTAAAATACTCGGACATTACCGTGCGGTGTGCGTGTCTGTGAACTGGTCCTGGGCCTCCTCTAGGTCGACTCAACCTCAAATAAGTGCCTGGTGCGGTGTGTAAACATCGCCATTAAGGAGACAAAGGCGGCCGGGCGTTGTGCTGGCCACCCACCCTCGTGTGTGCCGCGCCAGCCTCCATAGGTGCTCGCTAACAGCGCTTGTCCCTACAGTCTGTTCAGGCAACACGGGGGATCTTTCTCTTTGACGCGGCTGGGTGGCTCGTGTGGAGTCCGTGCAATGTTCTAGTCACCGATGAGTGAAGGAAGAGGTGTGGTCATTTCACTTAGTTCTATTACACCCGGCTTCGAGGGCACATTTACACACCGTTGCCCGTGTACACTTGATGTAAAAGCATCGATATGACTTAATTTATCAATGAAGTCGAAGGGCTCGTCATAGAAATGACGTGAGTGTAAAATCGCAGCCAGGACTGGGCCGTCATCAATATTGTCATTGCCATCATCCTCCATCATTCTCTATCATCCTCAATCATCTTCGGCCGATTATACTCGATCAATCACCCTCCGTTATCCTCGATCAATCATCCTCGATCACTCTCTATCATCCACGATCATCCTCTATCCTTGATCATCTTCGATAATCTTCGATCGATCATTCTCTATCACACTTCTATCACCCTCTATCATCCCCAGTCATCATCATGAGGCTGCAATACGACATAAAAGGTCAGCTGCGGCTGCCTATGTAAAGACTGTGCACATACCCTACGACCCATTTGTCAATCCACCGCTGGACGCGTGCATCACGATGCCGTGCAAGCCGTGAGGGCTATTTGACCGTACTTCACCACATTGTTCAGTGTGCAAGTGGGGGAATACGGAATAATACATGGTTTGCCTGCCATGCTCACAACTGCTCCCATCACACCAACGGCACCTGTTCTTTCGTGCATGGCAGTCGCCCATGGCAGCGACTATCCAGCCTCAACGCCTGCTTAGCTTCTGAGGTCTGATGGGATCAGTCGCGTCATCTTGCCGTAGGCAGTCTCTGGCATTGGGATATGGAATTTAAACCACTGGCACACGACAGCCGCAGGAGATGGCTACCACTCAACAATGCCTATTTGAGCGTGGTGATTAACTTTTACGGAAAGTTTGAAACGTCAGTGTGCTCAATTATCTGAATCCTCACCTTTATTGAGAATCAGATAATGTTTATTTATCCGGGGAGAAATTCGACTGTATGATCGGTGGGTAACCTCTCACGAAATCACGTGCGGAGAGTGACACACAAGTCACCTGAACAGTGCGGGAAACGTGTAAATCAAGAAAACTTTCGCAAAACACATTTCAAGTCAAAGTAGAGCAAGTGTGATTTGTTGCATGAAATGAGCATCGGAGCGTTGTCGCTCATCTCCTGCCTAAAGCCCTGAGCAGTGGTGGAAATTCACAATCCTATGTCGGGGGGGGGGGGGGGGAGGGGAGCAGGGGAGCAATCTAGTCTATCCACTGTTGACTTCCCCTACAAAGTGCCATTGATGGAACTAATATCAAGTCGTCCTGTGATAACTAGCGCAGTGTGTGTCTCTTTGAAATGAAATGTTTTGCATGCACGTCTCAATTGATCGTTTTCACTTAACCCGGTCAGGTGCAGCTTTGACATGCATCACGTGACCGTGTCTTCACCAAGCAGGGCGACTTGGTAAGATAAACTCTCATTGTGATGTGATTTTGATGTGATTGTGGATTATTGTCACGTTTGGGTTATTACTCGAGCACACGATAGGCCCTTCCTACACGAATTACGTCACGTGATATTTCCCGTCTATTTCACAACAGCTCTGGTAACAACAACCGTTGAAGGTTGTTTTAGTTTGCTAGTTAGTCTCATCATATCATAGACAGACACAATTGTCATGTAAGTGGTGCTTTCATCAGAATTACAACGTGATGTTTAACATGTAGGCTTTCACGACCAATATTATTAATAATAAAGATTTTTTTGGGTTAGATCGCGTAAGTATTTACTCTCCAACACACTGGTGGGCTGAAGTAGTAACCAAGTGGCGCGTTGTTTACGTCACAAACCTTACTGGCTGTGTCGGGTGGTGGAGTGTTTACGACACATTTATACTTACGCGATCTAACCCAAAAACCTTATTATGAACATGTTGTTATTAAGCATTTTGTACTTTTGCAAAGGGAAATTATTTCATGCAAAAAGACAGGTGTCTGACATTTCAAGCATTATAATAACAATAAAACTGCATAATCCATCGTCATCAACAGCCACGGCCTATCCATTGCTAGATGCAGGCCTGGCCACGCTATAATTGTCCTTCACGGTCCTACAATGCTGAAACGTTTGGTTCTTCGACAGCGTCATCGTTCATGCAAGATGCGTCTCACAATCGCTGAGGAACCACGGACAAGCTCGAAGGTGGTCGCCGCGCGTTGAGCCGGCACTACCAACAACTACCCAAGCTCTGGTGGTGCCACACGTACGAAGATGTTTTCAGCGAATCGATGTGTGTTTACACACAGTCTGTGTACCTGCTGCACATGGAGGTATGGATATGCACGTTGGACTTCTTTCGCACCGTACATAGCCAGCCATGATAACCGGCGTTGCGGGAACTGCATGAGCAGATGCCATCGCTCTACCTCACCTCCATTGCCAATGATCTTCCCCCCTCTCGCCCCGCCACTCCTTCCCATCCCTCACCTACTCTTTCGTGCTCCCCAAGTACCCCTCTATCGCTGTCACGCATTCCTTAATTATTGTACGCCCGTGCCATCTAAATCAATCCATTCGGTCGTCGCGTTTTTTTTTACTATGTCGAGCGCCTTGAAATAAGGCGCTCAAATGAATATTTAAATGAGAAAACATCTCCAGAGCGAGCATCGTCTACAGCTGAGCTCCGTCTTTGGGTGGAATTCTGTCACCATTCTTAGCCATCGGCTATCATCCCTTCTAAGTGTCCTGCCCAGGGCCACACTTACTGTTCTTAAGAGCCAGTACTGTGTCTTGAACGCGTGTTTGTTCCCTGAGCCATGTGCTCCTCTCTCTGTCTCTAAGGCTAATTGCCAGCATGCATTTATCTACGTTTCTTTGGTTTCATCTTCTTTGTCTTGTGCTCATGTATCAAATCCATGTCACGGCACATATTTAGAAACTACACTCTTTAACCCACATTCATGTATTGATTTTCATTATCAAAATGTAATTTTTCCACAAGTGCTCCAGGCCGTTCACACTTGACTACATTTAATAATTGTGACACTGGTCTGCCTTGAAACAATTTACATATAAACACACACTGTTTGGTTTTTACAGTTATATCCCTTGAACATTTAAGGTATTTTATTTAGTACACGTGTTGTACACGACTTTGGTTTTCATCATATTCATCATGAGCCCAACTTTTTTGCCTTCTTTTTACAAGTTGTTCAACCCGTCACTGTAGTTACTAAAGATTTGTTCATATAGGATGATCTTTAACAAAGTAATTATGCCTCTTGTTACACAACAGAGACAGCTAATGTGTGAATATGTACAAATATTCAACCTTAGTCGGAACGTTTAAAAAAACATACGTACAAAAGTAAAGATTCAAAGTCTTGTGCTTATCTGTATTCATCATTGTTAAAAATACAAATAAAAAAGCCACCGCATCCCTGCTCAATCGCGTGTTGAGTAAAGGTCACCTCTGTTAGCAGTCATCAGCCAGCGGTGAAAATTCGACATTCTAATGGCAGGTATCCAGCTCCACGTTACTCAAAGTCACCGTAAAGAAGAGCTCGTCAAATTAATGCGTACCAAGAGGAACAATTCTGGCTGTCGCCTGATGAGGCTGGTTGTAATTACTGGTGAAACGTGGCACTCGAATTGGAAATGTGTGTTTACTAATTAGCATGTTTTTTTACGTGACAAACCTTACTAATTGGCTGTGTCGTGTGGTCGCGGGTTTAACGACACTTTTATATTTACGCGATCTAACCCAAAAAAGCCTCTTATGAAAAAGGAACATCTTTTCATAATGTTTTCCCCTTCATATTTAACACGTGAAATATGAAGTCCCTTCCAAAGTGGCACGCTGGGTGATACAGGCGTGGCGCGTGCCCTGCAATTATCATTGTTTTCTTTTTTACGTGGCCGGAATGAAAGAAGAGGCACGCTGGGTGATACAGGCGTGGCGCGTGTCCTGCAATTATCATTGTTTTCTTTTTCACGTGGCCGGAATGAAAGAAGAGGCGCCCTACCTTTCGCCCCCCTCAAGATGAAACCGAAGCCCTCGCTCTCCTTCTTCTGTAGCACCACGCTCTTCTCTTCCACCAGGTAGTCGCTGCCATGTGGAACATCGACACAGGGACTTAGAAACACGCCTATAACTCACTCGGAGACAAGAACTGTTTTAACTATGGTTGTTTTTTTTTCTTTCACCAGGCAAGGTTTCCCGCTGAGCCACGCGTAGCTCTTTTTCAGCAGGGGCCTGGCTGTCACAAAATGATCGCTCGACGAAGTGGCGGCTGACGGCTGATCACCACGTGGCAAATTTATAGCGGCCAAATACTCTTAAACGCGTGGTGACGTTGATTCTAAATGTGGAGGGAAAAAACGGAGGACCTGGATAAAAATTCACGTGACCACGGGGAGAACATGCAAACCCCAAATATACATTCTAGATTTGAAGCTTTCGTGACTGCAAGGATTCATATTCTTAGGTTTTTTCGGTAAAGTCACGTAGGTAAAACATTAAAATTAATGAAAGTAAAATAAAATAAAAAATAAAAATAAAATAAAAATCACGACGTTTCAGAAGCAACACAAGTCTCCGTCATCAGGTGGGATCAAACCCATGACTCCTGCATAGCAGGCGAGGTAGTTAACATCTCTGCATCGTGGCTCCCTAGAATCCCGACATGTACTATTCAGCGGCTTAAAACTCAGTGCTGGGAGACTGAGACCAGGTTTCAGGCTACGTTTGAGGATGAAAGCAGGTTATAACAATTGTATCTCTGTCACTGGAAGAAATGTTGGGTTACAGCCCAGTGGCTCTGTGTGGATTAATCACATGTCCGTTAGGACTGGTAGGACTATGCAGAGCAACACAGACAATGAAGCACATCGTTGATGGAATAAATGAAATAACTCCATTCGGCAGCTTTTGGAAGCACAAGGAGTAGCAATTGTACTGTGTTTCACTACTGATCAAATGCTGAGTAAAAGGGAATGCGTTTTAGATAAGGACTTCGCTTATAAACTGCGGGGACATTAGGCAATGCATAACACATCTCATTTCTGTTTGCATTGAATGGATCCACAGTTCCCCACTGGGAAGCGCACACCATGGTCACCTTTAAATGCAACTCGCTGGGTGCCCCGTTTCAGGTCACCGTGCGACATTAAAGGAAGCTGTTACTCACGAGAGAAGTCGCTCCTATTTCGCAAATCCACCCCCAAGCTGTCAGACAGCAGTTTGAAGTTTTGATAATGAGAATATATTTATTTATTTATCTTATGTACGTATGACAGTCAAGATCGCTCCAGTGGTGTCAATGTGGCATGATGCTGGTAATGTTGATACGTTTACCGCAGTGATGTGGTGACAGTGCACTCCCGACAATGATTTTATTCGGTTTTCCCATTAACGAAACTTCAAACTCGCGTCAAATGACACGTTACTCGCAGCCTGGGGTATTATCTCTACAATGATTTCAAGATAAAGGATATTTTGGGGTTTTTTTGGGGGGATGATTCTTCACATAAAGCATTTTATTTTATATCTGTAGCACGAACCAAAGTGGTTTCGTGCTTGTCGAAAAGTGACATCGTCTTTGGGCTAACCATCGAACAAAGACGGTCACTGCATCGCCCACTTTCTCCTTCCGACATTAGGAAGCCACTGGAGCGATACGCTTTAAACTCCGGATTGAAAACTAATTTCGCTGCTTTTCGTAGTTTGGTTTGTTTTACTTCCTCCGCACCGCCAATTAACACGGTTGGCTACGTACGGTACGAAAGAAGCCCCACATACATGCACACGTTAACTACAGGAGAATATCCATACAAACACACCCTGTGGAAAGAAGACCAAGCGCTTATACTCGAGGTATCCTAAGTTGTTCTTTGCCTTTCCGCCAGCAGTGTAGTGTTAGCATCTGTTACGTATATTAGAAGTGTGCTTAGGCCTCCTTATAGCCATCTTCTACTTGCAATAATGATCTGGCCATCTTTGAACAGAAATGCGGTGGGGAAACGTGGATTCTGCCAGCGCGGGAAATAATCGGGCCCGAAAAATCTTATTTACACAGGAATGTCACAGTTATATATTTATCAGCGATGAGTCACATTCAGTATTAGCTGATGCAGTCTGCTGTGCATCGCCAACCATCATGTCTGGATCACTGAATAGACCGCAGGCTGAACTGAGAACCTACCATTAACATCCCAACACCTCCAAATTAGAATCATTCGTGGTTTAATGGGTAAGAGTGCAATTATCTTAAGGGCTAGGACATTTTATGCGATATGCTTTTGAAAGAAGAATAATATATATTCTGGAAGCATATTGCAAAAAACGAATGTGATAAAAATAGCCACCAACAATATACATGCGATCACAATTTTTTTATGAGCAATTTTCGCCACATTTCCAGCAGCCGCACAAATAGCAGATTTTTTTTAGCCAAATTAGGTTTCACTCTTTGTTTACGCAGCATGCCCAACGCACGAGGTGAAATAAATATGTGCGTGAGCGGCGTTCCAAACATTTTGAGAACAGAGAAACCCCAAAAAAAGACATCAGAACAAAGCATTTGAAGCTTACAGTATTTGGAAATTTCCGAATGCAATGCTCGTTTGATAACACAGTATGTTCACAAGCGTCCAATGTCCATGTCCAATTCAGTGGAATTAATTGCAAATATTTACCTCTGGTCACATTTTTTTTCAAGAAGTCATATAACTGTACATGAATATACACTGTACACGTATATACTTAGTGCACACGATATTTAGTGATTTATATTGTCGCAAACATCAAATCGTGGACTCGATTCATGGGATTGCAGTAAATATCGATGCGAAATAAAAACATTAAATCACATTTTCACGGCGACTGTCAGCCAACCAAAAGGCATTTAATTAAAAAATGCATAAAAATACCGTAGCTTATGTGACCAAATCCAGGCACCGTGTATGTTCGTTGCTGTACAGAAGCTATAATCAATATATAACCGATCAATAACGCAACATAACAAATGACAATAGCAGACAATGTAACGTTGACAAAATGTGAAGATTTTTTTTTTTTAGAACGAAATCACACGTATACCATGACAGCGTACACAAACTCACACGTGTGTATACATACGTGCACGTATATGTAATCTGCAGCATAATAGATTTCTCATCAAGATTCAAATGCACCGTTTCAATTGAGGTGAAAAATGTGGTGGTAATTCCACCTTCAAATGACGAGAGCATTCCTCTTCTAAACACAACAAACACCAAGTTGTGCAGTCTTACCCGGTGGCTCTCATTGTACTGACATATGGATGATGATGATGATGCTGAGGATGGGTTCACTTTACTGTTGCACGTATCAATTAATGAGAAAAAAAGGAACGTCAAAAGTTCAACGCACAAAAGGCCGGAACCACTTGATTCATCCACGTAAACACAAAGGCCTCCCGTGTGCAGCCTTTAACAGACTGTTGGAGCAAGCGCTGTTACCGAGCACCTATGAAAGCCGACAGCACACGAGGGGGCGGGTGGCCAACACCACGTCTGGCTGCCTTTGTCTCCCTCGTGGCGATGTTTACACGCGGCACCAGGTACTCATTTGAGGCTGAGTCGACCTAGGGGGTGGCCCAGGACCGGTTTGGCCGTGAGCGGGCATCGAACCCGGGTCCCCGTGCTAACCGCTGCACCACCGCTGCCCACATATACACACACACACAGAGACACACACACACATATACACAAACACACAGACACACACACATATACACACACGGACACTCACGCACGGAGACACGGAAACACGCGCTCGTTCATCAATGAACACGTCGAAAAATGAAGCTGCACAGCACACACACACACACATCGAGGGTTAAGAAAGGTGCCAGACCCAAAAACGCAGAACCTTTTCTGATTCTTTAACAACGCGGGCAGCAAGCGTCCATCCAAATTCATTGAAGCGCCGATTGCGTTTCCCGAGCCGAGCGGAGCAAGGTGGAAGAGACTCCGCCGACGCGATCGCTGACCGCTCGTGAATGCAAAGCAGCCGACTGTCGCTCGCAGGCGCGGAACGGACGTCGGGGAGCGTGGCAGAGGCAGCCCAAGTCGTCGCGAATGTCGCAGCCGAGCCACGATCTCAGGCCCCCCATCAACGGTGGAACAAAACAAAAAATGTGATTCCGCCCTGGACTTCCCCACGCGTCCACCCACCCACCCCCAACCCGGTCCACGCTGCACGGAAGGCCGGGGCTGGTTCTGCCCGTCAATTCCACTACGGTCGGAGCTGCTGGCTGGAGCCCATCAAATCCGAGTCACATCACTGGTGCCGTCGCGCGAATGAGAAGGGGGGGGGAGAAAAAATCACCCAGCCTCATTTCCATTCCACAGCGTAAGCCTGCCCCCCCCCCCCACCAAATAACCCACCCTTCCCCCCCCCTCCAGCTACCCACCCACTCCCCCAAAGAAATATGTTTAATTTATTTTTAATGTTATTTAATTATTATCCGAGGCTCTCTCCTCCCCCCACCAGAGAACGGCGATACGGTGGGAAATGAAATTCAAGCCCGTTAAAAAAAAATAACAACTCGCATTCGTTTTTCTCTATTTTATTACAGAATTAGAAATCAAGGAACGCGCGCGCAATGAGTCAACTGTGTCTTTGTCACGAGGACCAATGTGCCAACAAACAAACAAAAACGAATCCGACGTGAAACAACGCGAGAGTGGCGAAAGAGGCCAAGAGGCAGTGCCGACGATGAACACAGCAGCGCTGCTGCTGCCGCTGTGCGCATCGCGCGTGCTTCTCTCCTCCCTCCCTCCCTCTCAACGCTTCTATCAGCCACGGCGTACGTCAGAGGCACCAAGCCGGGCCACACAAAGGACAATAAACGGCAAGTGCCACTCCTCAAGCAGTCGTTCCTGGAGGCACGGGAACCAATGTCCTGGAAACGCTGCCTCGTAATGCAGGAAAGGAGAGAGGCGGCCACGTGCGCGACACACTTGAGACACGCACGCACACAGAGTCGGAGCCACCAACAGATCTGGTCCGCTAAGAGGCAGGGGGTTATGTAAAAGCAACTGTATCCCGTGCTGAATGCTAAA